TATATATATATATCCAAACAAGTTCAATGGGATTAAGCTCGCGATGATAAGGGTGCAGACGCAGAATAATAATGTTTCGTTCCTGTGCCATATTTTTGATTACATATTCCATGAAATGAACTTTATTTGAACATACTATGAATAGTTCTTTTTTTACCATACTTCCATCAAATGTATGTTTTCTTTTGTTGAAACCACTCAAAGATATCCGCTTTTCTCCATTGATTGGTTGGTATTCTTTCAACTTTTCAGGAGTGATAAGTTGCATTATCCATCACAATCACAGTGAATTAACAATTAACTGATAATATCCGATGGCGTCGGATATTAACTCAGGATGTATAAACCTCTGAAGAAACTAGCCACTCGCTCAGCGAAACGTCAAGAAGAAATTCCAAAAATCCACGACCTTCAAACCTGGAAAATAGTGACACTGAAAACCTCGGCCGAGAAAGCCTTAACCATGACCCTGGCAGAAATTTTGCAGTTTTGTGAGTTGATGTCCGAACGAATTATTTGATTCAGTGAAAAAAGAAATTTCTTCTTGAATGAAAATGTTGACTGCCAAAATGTGCCATATTAATCAAACATGAACTCACATGTTTTTCGAGAAGATCCCACTCAAACTCCTGAGAAAATGGATTTCTGGGCGGGAATATTGGAAAATCATATTCTTGGTCTCATATATCTAGAGAAAATCTGACTGGTGATTTATATTCGTGAATTATTGAAAACCGCATTCATCCATGGATTCAAGTGGTCAACAATCAAGATGAATTCAAACAACTAATTGTTTTTCAACAAAATTGTGTGCCCCCACATTTTTAGGCCTGTAAGAGATTGGTTGGATCAGACATACCCGCACAAGTGGATTGGTAGGCGCAGTACGTTGGAATGGCCTGTCCGTTCCTCTCGTTTTTTTTGGGGCAGTTATGTCAAATCGTAAGTTCATGTTACGAAACCTGGGACGATACGAAAACTTTGGTTGTTGTAGTTTTTCAGATTGATCAACTGAATACACAACCTTTTTCTGAGTGTTTCCTTCATATCTAGCTTTGTTTTCGAGAAAAAAATTGAAACCACTCAACATATCATTCACACCCCAAATTTTTTTGAAATGGATATATTTTTTATTTTATTTTTTACTTCTTCCCGTAATTCATTCAACTCGTGGAAGCTCTTGAAAAATAACGAATTCATGGTACTTCCGAGTGCCAACTGATAGTGATAGCTTAATATGAAGCACACACAATCGATGAGAAAGTTGTATTGATCCCGTTTACCATATACAACCGTGCCCAGTTATGTAGGGTTTTCAAATTCAATTTAGATTTATGGAAAAAATCATTATATTTTTTGATACCACTGTATGACAAAATGGTTGTCAATTAACAAAATTTCATGATATTCGACTAATTTTCTCGCTTACTGGATAAGTCTTGACAAGCAAATGTTAGTATGCACCAACTTCTGGACAATGTAATCGAAATGACCGATTCCTGCAAATAATTCATGAAACTGAATATTTATTTGAAACTTTATTGAGCCCCCAATTTGAATTTTTGCAAACCATCATCTTGAGTTCCATTTATTCGATAGCATCTTTGGGTGTGTTTAATACAAAATGCTTGCATTCCTACATATGAATAGTTTGAGTGTCTGATGAAAAATTTGCCTATACAAAGACTTTCAATTAAATTACGAATGATTGGCATAAATATGAATGAAAACAGCATATTCACACCACCACACTGAATGGCAGATGTTGGGATTAATAACCATTTCCAATTGAGCAACTAAAAGTCATTCGATTGGATGAAAGGTGTATTTTGCATACTTGCAATATGTATTGATGGGTTCTAGTTATAGAAAACAATAAGTCGAGTGATTTCAAAACGAAATCCCACCCAGATGAAACCCACCTAGGTATATGCAATGGCCTAGTAGAATAAACACACCTTCAGTCAATATAAAAATCATACGTCAAATTCTTCATTTCGATTATCGTTCTTTCACAATATTCATACCATAACATCGATATCTCAGTAAACATAGATTGTTTGCTGAGCAATAATCTACAGATGAACCGTAAATGTCCTCCGTAGTGATTACTGAAATTATGATCTCTGAGACAGAATATATTATATCTCCAGGTGAGTTTCTGATATTATTAAGCGTAAACTGGAATAACGTTATATCAAGTTGTCAAGAATAATTCTACTATGTCGATTTTGTCAAGGGCCTTCTGCTTGAGTGACCTCCGCGTGAATCACAGTTCCATGTTTTCAATTTTTGTTTGAAATGTCTCAGATCATCCGTGTGGTCAGTATGGATCATCTGTTTGTATGCCTGAGTATTGCTCGAAGAAACTTTTGTAACCTCCTTCAAGCAGGTAGACTTCGGGGAAATTCAGCGATGGATAATTGTCTTTGTTCCTATTCCGGTCTTCTTTGCGTAGATAACGGTACCTGAAAAATAAGAAGGAATGTATAATTCCAGAATCTCACAGTTGAATTGAGCAACATATGAAAGAGCAAGCACGACATATACAAATGTCACAACGTGGAATTTTCATAAGCGATTGGAGCTAATAGATCGTTATACGAAACAATTTATATACTTACAGATTAGGTCCTCGTTCACTGGAAAATTCACAGTGAAAGAGCAGAATGTCACTTTTAGCAGAGTGTGCAATAGGGTTCTGACTGTCGGTCAGCGGCTGCATACACTGCTCTCTGGTATACAGATTCGCAGCTCCAGTAATGGGTCCACTTTCGAACTCATACGGGTACCGACAGTCAATTATCTTGCAGGACCTGATAACATCTCTAAATGATCCCTTTATGAGATGGGCCATGGTTTGCGTAGAGATCGCATTGAGATCACGATGTCGACCGTGAACCGAGAGCAAACTGCAGTTCCTACTGAAGTCACCAATCAGATCTTGTTCTGAAGGAGATGTGTGTACGGCACACATCATGGTCTTCCCATTTTCAGTGGAATCTTGTTATAGATGAGAAACTGGAACAGAAATAAAAGGTTCTTCATTCCCTCCACAGTGTACGAGTTTTGAACGTTTGATGTCCTTTTCAGGTTAACCTGCGGTAGATGTACGTCTCTTCGATGATTTTCTCTTGGTATCTCCTTCAAATAACCGAGTGCACACCCTGCTGTTTGTTGTAGAAGCTTGCAAGGAAAGAAATCTATGAAATAATGGAGTGATATGGGTTTCATTAGGAGATACCACCTGTCCTTATTCTGCATTTTTGATCAAAGGTTTCGAAATCAGATTATCCAAGCCTTCCGGTAACTCAGTCCCCCCTGTTTCGGAGCCCTCTATGTCGCATATTCGTCTGTCTATCTTATCTTCCTCAAACGAACATGAGGAGCTGAAACTGAATAGCAGTTTGGTTTTGGAATGTGATAAACTCTTTCTGTCACAACGCGTGGTAGAATTCTCAATCACCAGGTTGTTCACGGATTCCATGTTTTCGGTTTCGTGAAAATAGTGTGACAGACTCACGCAGTTTACAAAGGACGAACTGAAATGAATGACACATATTTTAATAGGAAATATTCAACACCAAATTAAATAGTTACAATTCAGAAATTAAACGTTGGAATAAAAATTTTTATTTGAATAAATGATTGTCACCGAAGCATCGTCTACTTCTAGTAGAGGAGGTTTGCTTTCTGTAGAATTCGAATAATACCATAATGTATCAATAGAAAACATTTTTTCATGGCTTTCAAATCCCCTTTTTGTAAAAAAATAATGAGGAACTTACAAAAAGAAAGAAAAATCAACATACATTAATGCAAACATATTTGCATCGTACTTCTACAGAACATAGTTGGAAAGGCATATTCATACAATCTTCAACAAATTAACCACCATAAATCAATGTCACAAATGTATTGAAGAAAAATGTGTCTTTTTGAAAGCATAGCCCAATTTTGGAATGTTTGCATTTCTTCAGAACATATAACGCCAGTCAAAGTTATATAATTGTTAAGTTCTCACGAAGTATCACGCCAGTAACACAAATTTCACGAAAAATATGTATCAAATCTTGTGAACCCACTCTATCAAAATGAACACTTATTTATAATAATAATAATAATACGTTTATTGGTCCTTAATATGAGCATACAAGAAACTATAGGGCAAATACTTTCAACTTTCACACAAACCACAACTCTTCTTCAGGTCGACTTCACTCAGAAGGTAACATCAACATAACGACACTCAAGGAACGAGCTTTATATATGATTCTTTGTATAAAAGATTGAGGTAATTCTAATGAATTCATTAATTGGTGCAGGTATATTTTTCATTTACTGTAAATTCATTTACAGGTAGGCATAATATTTTTCAATCACAGTGGACCGTATTTTGAATCAATACATAATTTTGCAAGACATATCAATTTATAAAAAAAGGGGTCCAGTACTTCCAAATCGGTGGAAAAAAGGACAGAAAATTTCTAGAATGAGAATACAATACAATTTTACTCTGAATACTCGATTAGAAAAGAAGTAAAATATCCCGCTGGATATTGTAGTCCGTATATACAGAACTTTTGTGTCATTTCACATAAATGAATATTGCATTGAAAGTAGTTGAGGGTCACGCAGTATCACAGTTGGATGGATAGACAGATTTATTGATGTTTAAGATATATAATTCTCATCACTATCACTCCACAAGTATTTTCCATAAGTTAGAGAGAATTGAGTTTTTTTTTCTATACTTCAGGTGGATTACTGACATTGAGGATTCAGAATCGTGGATGGAATCCTATTCTTGGCAAAAACAAAGCTCCTGTTGGCCGTACCTCTTGCCTTCAAGACACCTTCAACTGTTCTCTCTTCATTGTCACCTTTACTGATGCATAAAAATCAGATCTTTTTGAAGTATGAGTTCCAGGCAGAGATTTTCTCAAAAATTTCTTCAGATCTTCGGGCTCAGTATCTAGTTTCAACCTGAATACGTGAGGTGAGACAAGTCATGGAACTATTTCCATTTCACACGCTTCTTGATTTACTTGAGTCCAGTTCCCATTTGAATTGATTTCAATATTTTCAGTGTTTTCTTTGTTTGGTTCATTCAGTCACTTCACCGTATTGATTTTAAAGGTAAACTCCTGTTTTCAAACTCGATAGATGAAACATGATAGCTGTGTCTGAGGGCCAAAAGGTATACAAAATTGTAAATGGAATGGCACCAGAATATTTTCAAGATTACATCAAATTCAATAAAAACATCATTATTATAATACAAGAAATATTTTACGACAAACTCAATGGTGAAAACTGAATATCGATATCTATCATCGTTTCTAAGTTACAGCATGTTTTTCGAGAGTGTGAATCTTCGAACAGTTGCTGCACTTTTTTCCTTGTCAAATATTTCTTGTTTCTATGAGAATATTTTCAAAGCACTTTTCCACGTAGAAATTATTCAATGTTGCAAAAACTTATTTTTTCAAATGAGATATCAATAGTTATTGATGGAGAACTATTTTTTTGATGGGACGCTCTGTATATTCCTACATATTTCAATTGAGCCTAAAATAACCTTTCCGAAAATATAGCATACTTGATGATTTGTTGAAGTTATCTTTGAAATATTTGTCTGTCTGTCACGTTATTTATTGAAAAAATCACATGTTGAGAATCTCGTATATTTTAATTATCTTCTCTCAGCAATATTCCTACCACCGCATAAAATGTGAATTTCTGAGAGGAATGAACTACTTCTTACCAAAATGTGCTGCTAGACATCAGTGCAACGATGTTTCTATAAACATACAGGAAGTTTTCAATATACCCGTCAACACAAACTACTCCAGTGATTGCTAAGAAATGATAACGAAGCAATAGTCTGTTTTGCATTGACGAGAAGCAATAATTCCAAAGGAGAATTTACAAGCAACTACAGATGTCCTTCCTGATGATTACTGAAAACATCCTCGATGAGTCAGAGTATATTTTTCCTTTAGGTGTATGTACAAAACCAGTTCAGTTCTAAAATATTTATAATTATAAACTGGAGTTGATAATGCACAAAAAAAATTAAATACTCACAGAATAGGTCCTCTTTCACTAGAAAATTCACAGTGGAAGACTGGAATGTCCCTTCTATCAGCGAGCCCAAATTCACCGCTCCGTCAGTGATATGTCTACTTCCAAACTCATACAGATATCGACAGTCAACAACCTTGATAGACCCAGTAATCGAAGCCTTGCGATAATTCAGTTCTGCTTGTTTCGGAGGTCTCTACGTCGCATACTTGTCTATCTATATTATCTTCCCCAAACGAACATGGTGAGCTGAAGCTTACTAGCTTCATGTGGAGCCATGTGGCAAACCGTTTATACCAGAATGTGTCAGTGAAGCTCAAGCTCAATATTCCAATTTTTTGTATCGTGAAAATAGTTTGTCAGGCTCACGCAGTTTACTATGGATGACCTGAATTGAATTTAATTCATTTCAATAGAAAAGATCCAACACCGAATCAAATGATTGTATTATATGAATTCAATGTTGTTTTTGAAAAATTACATTGTCAGGATAAATGCATGTATCTCAAACAGATTCCAATAATAGTTATCATTCAAATAAATGATTATCATTGAAATCATATGTGAGTTACCTGTTCACAGAATAGGATCATGAAAAGTTTTAATCGTTTCTGCCTTATTTACATCTTCAAACCTAGTTTACTCCTTTCCGAATAATCGAATATAATATAACTACCTATACCTACCTACACATTGAATATTCAAATTTTTTTCACAATTCAATATTGTACTTACATTAGATTTATAGTTCTCCAAAAACCTCGTCACAAAAATTGCTTGAATATGATAAATATCGTCTACTTTCGGTGGATGGCTTTGTTTTTTTGAAAAAGGAATGATAATAAACTTGAAAGAAGGAAAGAGGAATCAACACATTACAAAGCAAGATCTCAGATGGGATAAATTTCCATTCTAAATTGAGCAAATAAAAATAATTCGATCGGATGATAGATGTATTTTATAAACTTACAGTATGATTCGATGAATCCTAGCAATAGCAAACAATAAGTATAGTGATTTCAAAATGAAACATCAGCTAGACACATATTATGGCCTTTCAGAACGGACATTTTTCGAAGTTCATTTTGATTATCTTCCTTCTACAACAGTAATATCATGATATAGGATATAAATATCTGACAGAAATGAACAACAGTGCATTGATGTTCGTATGAACATTCAGGTAGTTTACAAAAGACCCCCCTGACTATTCCAATATTTGCTGATCAATAATCTGCAGATGAACCGCAGATGTCCTAGTGATTACTGAGAATATGATTGAGACAGAATCTATTTTGCAGATTTGCGTTATTTCAAGCCGTCGCGAATAATTCTACCGTATCAATTTTTTCATGGGCCTTCTGTTTGAGCGACCTCTGCGGAAATCACAATCATCGATTTTTGTCTGGAATAGTTCATATCCTCTTCATGGTCAGGATGGAGCACCTGCTTGTATGACATCGGTGTACACATTTCTGAGAATTGCTCAAAGAAACTCTTGTAACCTCCTTAAAGTAGGTAGACCTCGGGAAAACTCATAAATGGATAATTGCTTCTGTTTATATTTCGGTCTTCCTTGCGTAGATAACGGTATCTAAAAAATTGAAATGAATCAATGATGTTCAACTCTCACAATTGAATTGTGCATCATCATCATAGAAAGTTGAGAGCAATCATAAAATATTCAAAACCTCACAACGTGAAATTTTTGAGCATTATACTGAATATATAAAAATTCTTACAGTTAAGGTCCTCTTCCACTAGAAAATTCACAGTAGAAGAGCAGAATGTTCCTATTACTGGAGTGTGTAGCCATATCTGACTGTCATATAGCAGCTGCATGTATTGCTCTCTGGTATACAAATTAACAGCCCCAGTGAAATGTCCACTCTCAAAGTCATACGAGTATCGACAGTCAATAACATTGTAGGATCCAGCAATATTTTGAAATGATTCCTGTATTATACGTGAGTAATTTATAATGATATATACGTCATCATGAAAAGTTGCGTTTTTATGAAAAATGACTAGAACTTCATGGTCTTAACCATGTTGACAACATCATTAACTTTCTGGAAAAGAGATATGGAGGGACTAAAATCATTCCATTCACTCAATTACGTGAGAAATATGCATGACATGAAAACAAATAGATATAATGTATATCACTGACACATTGATTCCTTTCATGAAGTAACAAATATTCGTTTTCTCTCCAAATTAATATATTAATCAATTGTTAATATTAATTAATAATTCCCAATTTGAGCTCCCAATTTGAATTTTTGCAAAACACCATCTTCTTTTCCATTATACGATAGCATCTTTGGGTGTGTTTCTTACAAAATACTTGTATTCCTACATATGAATTGTTTGAGTGTCTGATGAAAAATTTGCCTACACAAAGACCTTCAATGAAATTGGGAATGATTAGTACAAATGTGAATGAAAACAGCATATTCACACCACCACTCTGAATGGTAGATGTTGGGATTAATAACCATTTCCAATTGAGCAACTGAAAGTCATTCGATCGGATGAAAGGTGTATTTTGCATACTTGCAGTTTGTATTGAAGGGTCATAGTTATAGAAAGCAATGAGTCCAGTGATTTCAAAACGAAATCCCACCCAGATGAAACCCACCTAGGTATATGTTACGGCCTTTCAGAATAAACACACCATCAGTTTATAAAAAAATAATACGTTAAATTCTTCAAAAGTATATTTTGATTATCGTTCTTTAACAATATTCATACCATAACATCGATATCTCAGTAAACATATTGGAGCTAATAGATCGTTATAAGAAACAATTTATATACTTACAGATTAGGTCCTCGTTCACTGGAAAATTCACAGTGGAAGAGCAGAATGTCCCTTTTATCAGAGTGTGCAATAGTGCTCTGACTGTCATTTAGCAGCTGCATGCACTGCTCTCTGGTATACAGATTCACAGCTCCAGTGATGTGTCCACTTTCGAACTCATACGGGTATCGACAGTCAATGATCTTGAAGGACCTGATAACTTCGCTAAATGATTCCTTTATGAGCTGAGCAGATTTCCTACTGAAATCTCCTATCAGATCTTGATCTGAAGAAGATATTTGCATGGTACACATCATTGTCTTTTCACTTTGAATGAAATCTTGTTGGAGGTGGGATACAGAAACAGATCTATAACTTTTTCCAGTCCCTTCATAGTGTACGAGTTTTGAACGTTTGTTGCCCTCTCAGGTTCGCCTGCGGTAGATGTATGTCTCTTCGATGATATTTTTTTGATATCACCTCCAAACAACCGAGTGCACACCCTGCTGTTGGTTGCAGTGGCTTGTAGGGAAAGAGCCTTGTAGAATAATGGAGTGATACGAGCTTCATTAGGAGATGCCACCTGTCGTTCTTCTGCATTTTTGATCAAAGGTTTCGAAATCAGATTATCAGAGCCTTTCCGTAACTGAGTTCTCCCTGTTTCGGAGCCCTCTATGTCGCATACTCGTTTATCTATATTATCTTCTCCAAACGAACGTCAGAAGCTGGAGCTGAATAAAGATTTGGTTTTGGAATGTGATGAGCTGTTCGTATCAGAACGCGTGGTAGAATTCTCAATCACCATGTTTTTGAAGGATTCCATGTTTTCTGTTTCGTGAAAATAGTTAGACAGACTTTCGCAGTTTACTAAAGACGAACTGAAATGAGTGAAATACATTTTAATTCAAAATATTCAACACCAAATTGAAAATTTGTGATTCAGAAAATCCATGTTGGATTAAAAAATAACATTGTTAAGGTCAATAAACAACATATAACATGCATGTTTTTCCATACAATTCCTACGATAATCATTATTTAAATAAATGATCTCCTTTGTGGTCAGAATAGAACTCCTGCTTGTATAACATAGGTGCACACATTTCTGGGAATTGCTTTTGTTTCGATTCCGAATGTTGAGCATTACAAAAAAATAGTGAGATACTCACAGATTCGGTCCTCGTTCACAAGAAAATTCACAGTGGAATGATGGAATGTGCCTTCTATTAGAGTATGCAAATTCACAGCTCCAATGATATGTCCACTTTCAAACTCATTCGGATATCGACAGATCCAATGTTATTTCGAAATGATCCCCTTATCAGCTTGACCATGATCATGGAAGAGATAGTTTTGCCTTGCGGTAATTCAGTTCTGCTATTTTCGTAGGCTTCTACGTCGCATACTAGTCTATCTACATTATCTTCCCCAAACGAACATGGGGAGCTGAAGCTGACTTACAATGTGATTCTGGAATGTGATAAACCGTTTTTATAAGAATGCGTGGGTGAATGCTCAATCGTCAGATTGATCGAAAATTACAATTATTTGTTTCGTGAAAATAGTTCGTCAGACTCACACAGTTTACTATGGATGGCCTGAAATGAATGTAATGTATTTCACTAGAGAAGATCGAACACCTAATCAATTGTTTTTATTTTATAAATTCAACACATTGAGTATCCTGATTTTTTATCACAATTCAATATTGTACTCACATTAGATTTATAGCTCTCCAAAAACCTCTTTACACAAATTGCTAAAATATTTTGAATATCGCCTACTTTCCGTGGATGGCTTTGTCCTCTATAGACTTCAAATAATTACAAGTGAGGTATCCGCAGGAAATATTCTTTTATGGTTGCCAACTACTCTTTTTATAAAGGAATGATGAAAAAACTCACAAGAAAGAAAGAATAATCAACAAATATCAATACAAGATCTTAGATGGGATGACTTTTCATTGTCAATTGAGCAAAAAATAATAATTCGATCGGATGATAGGTGTATTTTATGAACTTACATAAAGTTTTGATTAATCCTAGCAAAAACAAATAATAAGTGAAGATTTCAAAATGAAACATCACCAAGGTACATGTTACGGCCTTTAAGAATGAACACATCTCCAGTTAAAGAAAAAATAACACTTCAAATTTTTCAAAGTATATTTCGAATATTTTTCTTCTACAATAGTCTTACCATGATATCGGTTATACATTTCTAACAGAAATGAACAACAGTGCACCGATGTTCGTATAAACATCCAGGTAGTTTTCAAAAGACCCCCCAAGCTCTTCCAGTGTTTGCTGACCAATAATCTGCAGATGAACAGCAGATGTCCTCGAACTGATTACTGAAAATATGATCGATGAGACAGAATATATTTTTCAGTGATAGCCATGAACTTGAATAATGTCATTTTAGGCAATAGAGTATAATTCTACCATATCTATTTCTTCAAGGACCTTCTGTTTGAGCGACCTCCGCGGGAATCACAATTACATGTCTTCGATTTCTGTTTGAAATATTTCATATCCTCTTTGTGGTCATGATGGAGCATTTGCTTGTATGACATGGGGGTACACATTTCTGGGAATTGCTCAAAGAAACTTTTGTAACCTCCTTCAAGCAGGTAGACCTCGGAAAAATTCAAAAGTGGATAATTGCTTCTGTTTCTATTTCGGTCTTCCTTGCGTAGATAACGGTATCTGAAAAATTAAAATGAATCAATATTGTTCAACTGTCACAGTTGAATTGTGCATAATCATCATAGAAAGCTAAAAGCAATCGTAAAATATTCAACATGTCACAACGTGAATTTCTTATGAGCAATTAATGCTGATATTTTCTGTTTCTGTTTGAAATCTAATGTTCAGCATTATATGCAATTAACAAAAATACTTACAGATTAGGACCACGTTCACTATAAAATTCACAGTGGAAGAGCAGAATGTTTCTTTTATTGGAATGTGTATCCGTGATCTGACTATCATCCAACAGCTGCATGCATTGCTCTCTGGTATACAAATTAACAGCTCCAGTGATATGTCCACTCTCAAACTCATAAGGGTATCTACAGTCAATTATCTTGAAGGACCCGATAATATCTCTGAATGATCCTTTTATGAGCTGGGACAAAGTATGCGGAGAGATCGCTTTGAGATCCTGATGTCGACCTTGAACCAATGGTAAACTGCAGTTCCTACTGAAATCACCTATCAGATCTTGTTCTGAAGAGTTCGAAGATTCCATGAATTCGGTCCCGTGAAAACAGTTCCTTATAGACTCACGCAGTTCACTATGGAAGAACTGAAATGAAAGAAGAGTATTTCAATCGGTGAAAATGAACACACATCATGAGAGGAATTTTGTTTAAATATTTAAGATGGAAATGATCCACCAAAGATCGGTGCAAAAATAATGGTAATTATTGGAACTATTTGAAAGTGTGGTTTTCAGATTGTATGCAGTAATAAATTCCTCAAAATAAATAATGAAATTCAAAGTCATACCATTGTTAATTCTTTCGAAGTATCACGCCAATACCGCAAATATGTATTTTATTTCGAAAACCTAGAACTTACTACTACTCTTTCAGAAATGTACTATATCACTTATTGTTTCTGTTGAGAAAAAACAAAATGAAGAAATAAACTAAGATGATATTACGATACATATTTCTCTGAGTACTCGATTACAAAAGGAGTAAAACGGTGAATATCCTAGTCCGTATTTCGTCGTAATGTTTTCTGTATATGATTAGTTCCAAAAAGTATGACATCATTTTTAGATTCATTCAAAATTAACCTGTTCCAGGTGGACCAATTCTTTTTTTTGTATCATTAAACATTTCCTTACCTGTTTTCACTTCTTCAAGGTATTTTTCACTGCCTATTGATGAATTGGTGTCATCAGGAAAGACTGACTGACTATTTTGAATGATAACATAAATCTTTCATAACCTCACTGCTTCCTTGGGTATTCCTACTCTCACTGCAGCATTCTCAGATTCATATGTTCGAACATTCTGTCAATAGTTACTATTTGTTGGTGATCAATCAGGTGAGACTCAATCCATATAGTTCCAGTTTTTTTTTATAAGCATCCCGTGATTCAAGCAGTCAAATGCTTTCGATAGATTAACTAAAACCAATAGTCATTCATAACTTTTACTACATCCCCAGTTGACATTCGTATCATTTTCCCTTTCTAGTAATTCAGAGCATAATGTCCACATACCTACATTTATTTTCATTGTCAGAATTTTTGATTCTATTCAAATCTCCATTGTTTCTGAATTTTGTCACGCGATTATCATACTCTGTTTCCATCTCATTATATTGGTGCCGACTTATTCTATTATATACATATGAAATTAACATGGTATCCAAAGTAAGTTTCCATTCAGCAAATTTATTATTGTTGAAATATTAATTTTTTTCATTTCTAGTAGTTACAAACCTGAGAAAAAAGCTTTTATTAAATGATATCCTGAAATTTTTCATGAAAATATCTAATTGTTGGTCAACTTCAAATCGATCTAAGTGACATAATTCGTCCCAAGTTAGTGTATTGTTACTAAATTCGATTATCTTATCATTAGAGAAAATTATTCCGAAACTATAATAATGTGTATTTTTATTTGCCCATTTCCCGCGTGAATATTTGAGCTTTGTGATCATAAATGTGAATATTTATAACTTTTTCCTGGTAAGTTACTGCATAATTTGTAAGAATATTGACTATACTAATAATGTTGTTGGAGTTATGAGTATGTAGTCATTTATCGTTTCGTGAATATGGTTATGGTTACTTCTTAAACTACTCTCATACTTTTCTGATGCCTTCTCCTCCTTTTATCGAACATTTTTGTCTGAAAATTTTCCATATCTCAATTTGTTTTCTCATAGAATTCAAAACACTTTTTTGTCATATGCAGCTGTGCGCAGTTATGCAAAGTTCGCAAACTCAATTTATTTTCATGGAACGACTTACTCGTTTTTCTGATACCACAGTATGAAAAAATGGTTGTAAATTTTCGAAATTTCATGATATTCGGATAAGTATTTTGCTCACTGAATAAGTCTTGGCAACAGAATTTTGGTATGCACCAACTTGTGGACAATATCATCGAAATGACCGATTCCTGATAAAAATCCTTGATGTTCAATATTTAATTGAAATTTCAATGAGCACTTCCTCCAAAAATCACCTTGAGTTCCATTATACGATAGCTTGTTTAATACAAAATGCTTGTATTAAACCTCACCTAGATAAAACTCGCCTAGGTACGTGTTACGGATTTTTAGAATGAACACATCTTCAGTTGATGAAAAAATTATACGTCAAATTCTTCAAAAGTATATCTCAATTATCTTTCTTTAACAATATTGAACATCGATAGAAAATTTTTAACAGAAATGAAATACAGTGCATCGAAGTTTCTATAAACATGCAGGTAGTTTCTAAAAGACCCGTCATCACAAACTATTCCCGTGTTTGCAGAGCAATAATCTGCAGATGTCCTCGTAGTGATTACTGAAAATATGATCGTTGATAGAGAGTATATGTTTCTTTCAGGTCCATGCACTGAAAAATTTCAGTTTTGGTTATTATTAATCGTGAACTGGAATAACCTTATATGAAGTTGTCGAAAATAATTCTACCATATCAATTTTTTTAAGAGCCTTCCGTTTGAGCGACCTTCGCGGGAATCACAGTTCCATGTCTTCGATTTTTATTTGAAATATCTGAGATCCTCTGTGTGGTCAGGGTGGAGCATCTGCTTGTATGCCATCGGTATACACATTCTTGAGAATTGCTCAAAGAAACCTTTGTATCCTCCTTCAAGCAGGTAGACCTCGGGAAAATTCTGTGATGGATTATTGCTTTTGTTTCTATTTCAGTCTTCCTTGCGTAGAAAACTGTATTTGAAAAATAAAAATATTGTCAATGATTTTCAACTCGCATAGCTGAACTGTGTACATCAACAAACTACTGCG